GGGGGGTTGGATAGGGGTGGGGGGCAGTCAATGGGGAACAAGCTTTAATAAACATGAGTGTATTAGATGGAAACACTCTGGAACTGTTTGTTTTCCCGTCTTACTGAGGAGGAGGAGGAGGAGGAGGCAAGAAACAAAGGAGGACAAAGAAGGTGAGGAAACAACATATTCCTACAATATTACAATGCTAGTCTCATCTCATCATACTTGTGTTTCATTGATTTATGTCTGTCTCGTGTTGGTGGTTAAAAATATAAGAGCCTCAGTATCTTGGTTAAGTCTGGACATTTGGATTCAGCCTGAGAGAAATGCAGCTTCTTCATTAACATATTGATCCTCCATAATTAGGACTACCTACCGGCTAGATATTAGCTTCAGCCATGTCTCACTGAGTGCACTGTTTGAACTGGGCAGCTGACTGACTGCCTGTCTCAGTGGGTGAGATATTGGATGGAGATTCTACCACGTGAACTGTTCACGTACCTAACTGAATCAGCTCTCTGAACTGACACTTTCATTCTCTTCTGACCTCTTTCTTTCCGGATAAGTCCCATTAAGTCTAAGATGGTTGGTCATGTGTGTGTGTGTTGTGTGTGTGTTGTGTGTGTGTGTGTGTGCTCACAGCAACCAAGTCGGTATTTCCCTCTCTTCTGTCCCATGTGTCTCACACTTCCCCAAATCTCTTTGTTTATGTCTGTTTCAAACTGAAGCTTTTTGCCAGTTTCTCTTTCTCTCTGCAGGGAACTAGCATCCCCCTACCAGATGATGCTAATTATAGCCATGTGCGCTCATCTTCACGCTTACTGGAGACACAATCTCGAACGCACCACAACACACACACACATTACACATTGCTGACATTGTCACTGATACGTCTGTGCCCACAAGTTGGTTCTTTGATCCGAGCCAAGTGTAGTCACATGTTTGCTGTGTTTAATGAAGGATTTTCAAGTCCAGCCGCCGCAAACAGGGCTTTTTCCATGTTCGACAAATCCGCTGCAGATTTAGCGTCACTTCTGGTCCTGTTTACGCACCTTCCACAGCTCGAAGTCACCGAGCGAACGCTCTATTCAGCCTCTGACTTTTCTCTGAATTTTGGACCTTTTTTACTTCATCCTCAGCCATCAGACAAATCCGTGTAAGTTTCTTCATCAGTCGTCAAATCTTGCACAAAACTGACTGTGGTGAGACTCGAGATTTAGGCTGCATAACCGATAATTTTACTATTAAGATTTGGCATTTAAGTGGTTTGCTATTATTCTGTGCATATAGAGACTCTAAATATAACACATGGACTGGCACCTAGATGTGGTTACTGATTATAGACGATTATACACCACACTCAAAATAAAGCCGAGCTGCAAGATTCCCCATAAACGAAGCTGCATGGCGTGGGAACCACCAAGCATGGACATTTCAAATAAAATGTGAATATGAAATGCAAGCCCTTAGTGATAATAATTCGCTGTTAACGTCGTCTAGCAAGATCTGGTTTAGCTAGCTGTAGTTACTGGTTCCGACGTATCGCATGTACTAGAGAGAAGCCGATGGCTGAGGTTATAACAGCAGGTGTCACCGCAACCTGTGGACAACTATACTCACATTTGTATACATGTCCAAAGCTCGAAACTAAGATAAAACTTTAGTATAGGGAATTTAACGTGGGAGCGATACATAAGAATTAAGCACAGGGAATGAGCCGGAAGAAAGAGCAATGTACCACACGCAGTCATTTATAAAAAGACTCGCTTGCGGATGTACACCGGGCGAATTCCTAACTCTCTCTCTAGAGCCTAGC